CCCCCACTCTTCTCCCCCTCCTCCCACTCCTCTCCCCCTCCCTCTCCAATCCGAAGAGCAGTCATGGTTCCCTGCCCTGTGGAAAGTCCAAGGTCCTCCCCCTCCGTCCATGTCTAGGAAGGTGAACATCCAACCTGGCTAGGCTCCCACCAAGCCGGAACATGAAGTAGGATCAAAACCCCTTGCCATTGACCTTGGCTTCTCATCAGTCCTCATTGTTCGCCATGATCAGAGAGTCCGGTTTTCCCACACTGGAGCACTGGACTGAGCTCCCAAGGTCCCAATGAGGAGCAGATGGAGGGAGAACACGAGCAAGAATGTCAGGACCACGGGGGGTGCACCCACCCACTGAGACAGTGGGGGCTGATCTATTGGGAGCTCACCAAGGCCAGCTGGACTGTGACTGAAAAAGCATGGGATAAAACCGGACTTTATGGGTTTATTTTTATGCTCTGATTTTTTTTTTAAAAACAAATACAGTGATCCTTATTTTGAATGTTTGTCTGCTATTTCATATAATTCAATCTCTTTGGAGACAATTACTAAAAGATTAGTAGTTTTTGAAGAAGTCATATTTTTTACTCTTTTGACGCTGTGGTATTTTTGTGTTGATATTTAGATATTTGAGTTTAAGATGTTGTAGGCATCAATATTTTAATAAAATAAAAACTATTTTATTAATTCTTTTTTCACTTATTTTCATGCCTTATATTTTTTTTTATCACATCCACCCCTCTTCACAACCTCTTCCAGGTAATTGTCTTTCATATCCATTCAGCACCATGCCCTCATTTATTTCTACACTCAGCGAGCGTAGTGTAGTTTGTCCATCTCAGATGTGTGGCCATTTACTAGAGTATGGCCAAGTTACAAGGGGCCATACCATTAAATAAAAATAAGTCTCCTTCTCCCAGAATTATGAATTACTAATTGCTAGTCGGGTCGGGTGGGAGTGAGAACTGGTTGAGCAGCTATAGAAATCATTACCGTTTCCTCAAACAGCTAAAAATAGGTCTATCACACTGGGTTTCAGCATATTTCTACAGGACTCCATATCCTCCCACAGATGTAGTTGCTCACAGATGTTCACTGCTGCTCTGTTCACAATAGCCAAGAAATGGAAACAGCCTAGCTATCTATCAACGGATGACTATAACGGATATGAATAGATGAATGGTTTCACAAATACGTGGGTGAAGCTGGAAGCAGTCATTCTGCGTGAGGTGACTCACACCACAGACAGATGTTATATATTTCCCCTTATCTGTGGGTATTAGAATTGACTGGACTTTTAAAAAATGTCCCTATCATTTTGATAGAAGTGTTTTCAATATTCAAGAGGGGTTATATTGTAGTAGTGTGGCGGTATCATTTATCTCCTCTTGAGTAGTATCTAGAGCACCAGGATCAATCTCCAGTATGCATCTGAAATTAGAATATGTAAAAACAATTACTATCAACATAGTGGCCTACTATGGACATATGGCAACAGTCAAATAAAAAGCAACTACCCTTTAAACAGTTATTATTTACAAAGTAACAGAGTACCAATAGTACTGTGTGAATTCCTGTATTTGTTACTTTGAGTGTGAGTGAAAAAAAAAAGGAAAATATAATGTAAAACTGGAGGCTATATTCAGATTGCAAATGAAAAGAAAGGAAGGAAACAAAATTAAGGAGGAATGGTAGGGGAGACAAGGGGAGAGAGATGAGCCACTTTGAGCAAAACATAAAATGAGAAATGCAAAGAGGTATTTTAGAACAATGCCACCTCCTAGGCGACTGAGACAGAGACCCCAGAAACTAGTCTCAACCTATTTTGTTTTGTACATACAGTAGAAAATAAAATGATTATGTAGGGATAGAAGAAATAGAAAATAGAAGAAAAGAAAAGAAGGATATGGATAAGAACCGAACGGCACAGTGCTAGTGTGCTAAGTTGATGCTACTTATAAACGAAAATTAGCGGATATGAAGGGGAAGTTGCTCAATGAAGGTTCAGAATATTAGAACCTTTTTCGTCTTCATGTTCCTCTACAAACTCACAGGCCTGTCACATTCTTCTGTAGTGAGGTTGGGTCTGAGATACTGGCCACACCTCTTGAGTTCGTCAGTGGCCAAATTAAAAATACTGTTCTGACCGCTGAGATTAGTGATAAAGTTCATCTCCACCTCAGATTGGTTCTTTGCAAAGTTGGGTCATGATTCTGAGGCCCATCATCATGGCTCAGCTGATGAGTGTTGACCCTGCCCCCTGGGTACCTTCGACCTTCCAGTGAACCATTAGAAGTAGCACCCGTGTCCTCCAAAGGCTCTGAACCTGATTGGTTTTCAGTCTGCCAAGTACTTTGCATTCACAAATATATGCCTGCGGCACAGAGGCATTTTGATGGCCAGATTTTCACATATGACCTTGTGACCCTCATTCTGGAGTCTCCAAGAGTGCACTTCACAGAGCATCTGAGACACTGAACACTATACTCTGCAAAAGTCTTTTACAAGGAACTTTTCCTGGCTTTCCTCATTCAAGCACTGAGAAGAGAGGGTTTTCCTAACTCTCTTTTCCTCTTGCCAATGTGATTGCTGAGCATCTTCATCTGGTTTCCCCAGGCCCCCTTTCCTGCCCTCTAAGAGAACTGCTGTTCTTCTGATAGCTC